TCTTAAGGCTGAAGCTTCCGATTTGTCCAAGCCCCTCGTCATTTTAGGCACCAGGGCTTGGGGCTTTGGCGGTTCAGGGCTTCAGGGGTTCAGCGCTGTTGCGTTCGAGGACGTTGGGTTCTAAGTTTCTGCAGGGGGCTTCCATGCGCTCAGGCTTCGGATCAAATGTTTCAAGGCTTGCAATGTTTACCTGTCCGGGTTTTAAGCGCAAGTGCCATGAAGCCTCGAAGTAGATTTGGGGGTGTACGAGATTCGGGGTACCTTATCGGGGTCCTTATTATCAGGGGATCCTACTATTTGGCCCCCATCCTGCGCAGTGACACCCCTGCGTCCATCGGCTCCAACAGCTGCACGGCTGCACGTGTGAGGCTTTGAGGCTGAAGCTCCGAACCACCCCCGCCCAAAAAAAAACTAAATAAAGAAACCTAAACCCTAAACCCTGAACCCTGAACCCTAAACCCTAAACCCTAAACCCCAAACCCCACACACACACCGCCAAAATCTTGAGCCCCAAGCTTGGTCCGAACCCCGAAGCCCTGAATCCTGCACCTTAGAATTACAACCCACCAACACCTCAGCAGTCGGACAAGCCCCCCTGGTTTTCAGGGAATGAGGGAATTAGGGCCCTACATACATACATATATATATATATGTTTTTATCTATATATATACATATATATATATATATATAGACCCTCAAGGGATATAAAGATAGGGTACCTCATTCCCTCATCCCTACTAAGAACCAGCCAGACGTGCCTTCGCAGGGTTGAAGGATTTCACAGTGCCTGTCTGGTTGCAGGCTTCGAGGCGCTTTGTTTAGAGGTGAACAGACAGGTTGGGGGATGAAGGCAGCGGTGTCAGATGCTTCTGATAGAGGCTTTTTGGGGGTCTGAGGGTCCATACAACGGGTTTCGGGTAGGGTATGTGGGTGAGTTGTAAGGGATGCAGGATCCACCCGCCCAAAAATGGGCCATGTCAATCAAGAGAGAGACTACTTCCTAACCTATGAACCGAAAAGCCCGGACTGTGCCTGTAGACGGCATGATGCGCGGCAGTTGGGGCCAGATGCGGCTACGCTAACTTGTCTTATAAGTGTGCTTTTGACTTTTTGCCGTGGCTTCGCATGTCAGGAAGAGTAGGCCCATGACTTGTTTTAGAGATGAAGCTGACAGAGGTATTGTACGGCTCCGCATCGATGACCCCCAAACTTGTGGCATGGCGAAGGCGTCGTGACCGCTGCAAGTGGAGCTGAATGCATTGCCCTATGCGCCTTGCTGTGTCGAATGCTGGGGGTTGCGCCTTGGAGCCAGTCATGGCCGGAGAAAGTGCGATTGAGAGTTTGGAAGCCCCTGAAGTTGCTAAGGATCTGTTTAACAGGATCAGGCATGGAAGCTAGGTGTGGAGGGTTTTCCTGACTTATGTTTGTTTCGTAACAAGAATGATGTCGCCCCACCACCAACAATGCTTTTTCTACTGGCCTCCAACTTGCCTGTTGCCTCAGGAGGTTGCGCGGGCGGGGCGGGGGGCGGAGCGGGACTGCACGACAGTGCATGGGCATTATGACAGGTAAGGTCGACATTCTCAACCCTGAAACGCCGCGCCAGGTTTCGCGTGGGTTCCTCACCTTAAAGCCGTCTACTATACATGGCCACTGTCCGGTGGTGACAGCTTTACAGATTCAGCGTGTGCGAGCCGTCAGAAATCCCATTGGCGACATAGCAGCCCTTGCAGGGCTAGGCAGCTGCACACCGCTGGTAGCTTTCAACCCTCAACCTTGGCGAAAAAGAACAAGAAGAGACCACAGCTTTCAACAAAAATACTCGAAAGTTTGCAATTCCGATGCTCGGTGGCATCATGTCAGAAATAGCTGACATCGGCTCAGCTGGATGTGGCACTCAAAGATGCCTAAGCACCTGTACAGTGATGTCAGGGTTCAGGATGCAGGACCAAGTAGCTTTGGCTCGTTGAAACGCGGGAAATTCTGTGGCTGGTCCTGGATGGAAGGATTGGCACTGCTGGAGTCCACTGTGGCAGTCCCAGTGCCTTCGAGGAAGTATGGCATGCCAGCACAAATTCCACCGCACTTGTCGCGGTCGGCGTTCCACCGCTCTTGTCGCGGTTGGCGCCGTTGCCAAACGTTGCATGAGATTCAGCAAGCAAGACCACACAGTCCTGCAGCATAGGAGGAAAGAAATCCTTCTCTTCACAGCGGCCGGAAACTCATGCAACGGCTGATTCCGAATGGCGCGGCTACGACGTCCTGAAGCTGGCAGCAAGTCTTTAGGGCTCAGGGTTTCCATGACGGCTCTACAGGTCTAGGGAACAACAGCCGCCACTCCATGTCATCTGACGTCCGCAGCCTGTATTGCTGCTCGAGAGAAACTGCATGACGAAGCCACTGGGGGCCAGTCGGCACGAATCCACGAGTTGGCACATTCCGTTGCCCCGATGCAAGGCCTGAAGCTTCACTCAAAGAGTACAAAGTGGGGCTGGAGCGCTTAGACCCCAACACCCCCAAACATCACAGGATGCCCTTAAACCCTAAACCAAGGTGGAAGCTCCAGCTTCGGAAGGAAGCGCTAAAACGTTGCCTTCAGGGTCACTGAGGTGTCAGAATAAAGCTTTGGGATTGAGGGGTACTTTCCCGACACACTACAAAGGGTGCCAACAGGATCCCACAAAACTCAAACCACATTGGGGATCGATTGGGGGGGAGAGTTTGCAGGGCCACCTCAAACCCCAACACCCAAGCGTTACTAAGCCCATCCATGCCCACCCGATTCTCTGACACCAAAACTTACCGCAACGCAACGGGAGCTGGGGTTTAGAGATCGAAGCTGGGGGAAACCCTAGACCCTAAACCCCAATTAAACCCTAAACCCTGTGCGTTGCTGCAAGATTGGCTAGAAGGAGGGGGGTAGGACGTCTGGAGGCGAGCCGGGTCCCTCGAATTTAAGCTTAAGACTTCCTTCGGGACGGGTCGGAGTCTAGACAGGGTTATGCTTGCAAACCTAAGCGATTTCACAACCTCCCACCATCACACCTTTCTAGACTCCTGAGCCCCAATACCTTCACATGAACTGAACTCTCTAACTGTAATCCCCCTAAACCCTAAACCCTAAACCCTAAACCCTAAACCCTAAACCCTAAACCCTAAACCCTAAACCCTAAACCCTAAACCCTAAACCGTAATCCCTAAACCCTAAACCCTACGAAGAGATTCCAAGAAGAGAGCCACAGGCCAAACATCACCTGCAGCCATGTTCTGGCTGCAAGTTTCTGTATGCGAAGCGGCCCCACAGTTCCCCAAATAGCCCTAAACCCTAAACCCGACCCTAAACCCTAAACCCTAAGCCCTAAACCCTAAACCCCTAAACCCCTAAACCCCTAAGCCCCTAAGCCCCTAAACCCCTAAACCCCTAAACCCCTAAACCCCTAAACCCCTAAACCCCTAAACCCTGCTAAGCCTCTGAACCCTCGTCGGGGGGGGGGGAACTGTGGGTTGCTTCCCTCTGCTTTCGCTGCCGGAGACGGCGCGAGCCAGTCTGGTGTTTGTGGTTTGGGCCGAAATGTTAGGTGTTCATGTGGCCGGACCCCGAATCAGAGCCCAACATAACACCTGCTTGACAGGTGGGGTGCTTCGGGCTTTCCGTTCAGGGCTTCAGGGTTTTGGGTTCTGGGGGGCAAACAAACAGACCCCTCAATTCTAGAGCATGTTTCCGGTGCAGCCCCGTGTTTCTTTAGGGCATGGGGGGGGGGAAGGGGAGACTTGGAGGGCCTTTCTGTTGGGTTTACGACTGACTTGAGATGTCTCTGGCTTCTCCCCAGAAGACAGCTGCACACTGCGAGGTCCTGTGTTCTGCTGTTGAGCTCAGGAACATCGCAGCGTCGCAGCATTTATGTCTCAAGCGTCTAAGCCTAACCCTGTCGGACCGTGAATTGTTTCTTGAAATATCCTCGTTGAGTGTCTGGTCCACAGGAAAGGTCTCGTCCACGGAAAGTCTCCGTCACAAAGTGCTCCGCGAGCACTGCACATGGCTTGGGGGAGAGGGACTTGACCTTCTAACTTTTGACCTAACTTTTGCAGTTTCACCACTGCAGTAGTCTAACGCCGCTCATTGCTGAAAGCATTCTAGTCGCTGACAGCGTCAGACAGGGCCGTCTGAGCCAGATAGTTGCATACATCATGATAATTGCAGAATACCCCAAGGTACCGAGGACTTTCCCACGAGCGGCCATGCCTTGTCAAAACCCCACATAAGACCGTACACTTCAGGAATCTCCCATAGATGTTGGGGGTTTGCGCTAACAGGGGAGCCCTCATATAGTCTCCCAAAGAAAAGGATCCCACAAGAAAAGGGCCCCAACAAGGTACCCCTACTACCCCAAACCCTAAACCCTAAACCCTAAACCCTAAACCCTAAACCCTAAACCCTAAACCCTAAACCCTAAACCCCCATATCCCTCTCTCACCCGACAGAAAGGAGGTTCGACGTGGTGGCCCCGCTGCTTGTGGAGCCTGAGCTTCCCATGCCAGAGCTGGAGGTGCTCTCCTTCCTTGGCTGGGTTTAGGGTTTAGGGCTTAGGGTTTAGGGTTTAGGGCTTAGGGTTTAGGGTTTAGGGTTTAGGGTTTAGGGTTTAGGGTTTAGGGTTTAGGGTTTAGGTTTAGGGTTTAGGGTTTAGGGTTTTTAGGGTTTAGGGTTTAGGGGGTTTAGGGTTTAGGGGGTTTAGGGTTTAGGGGGTTTAGGGTTTAGGGGGTTTAGGGTTTAGGGGGTTTAGGGGGATTAGGGTTTAGGGTTTAGGATCTAGGGTCTAGGGTCTAGGGTCTAGGAGGGTCAGGGTTTAGGGTTTAGGGTTTAGGGGGGTTTAGTGTTTAGGGTTTGGGTGCTCCAAGTGTTTTTAACTCAAGTTCTTCTCAAGTGCCCTAGGTTCAAGGGAACTAGAGCATTTTCTCGGCATGATGCCGTAAGTTTTCCGCATTTCTGTCACAGGGGGGATCACATGGAAGACCAGAAACTCTTGTACCGAAAATATTCGACGACGGCATAGAATATCCCCGACGGCCCGACGGATCTACTATCTCCTTCCTGCGCCTTCCCCAGCGCCTCCTCCCATCTCCTGGCTTCTTGAGTCCGAGGCACGTAAGATAGCCCTAGACCATGAAAACCACACTGCAGGCCAAGCTTCAGCCGGATAGCGCCCTGCCGCGCCACCGCCCCCAAAATGGCCATGCGCTCGAAGCCCATGTGACAGGCGCTGATGAGGCCGTCTGTGCCGAAGATCAATGATTGCAACCTGGTATCTGTAGTAGGGATTGGGTCCAAAAAGGAGTGCGGGAGGTTTGAAAGGCGGCCATAACGTTCGCAAATGACCGCAGCCTGAATTACTAGAAAAATCTCTCCCTCTTGTTGGGCTCCTTTTGCTTACCACTCCCAAGCGCAATCCTAAACCTTTCGAGGTGTAGCCGGCCAGCAGGTCTTTGGTCAAGGAAGCTTCATCCCTTCTCTCCGAGAATTTGTCGAGTGTGGGGCTTGAGCTTGAAGGCTAAACATGTCTGCAGCAGAACCAGGCAGGAGAAAATCTTGCCAGGCCACTCGGCGTTAAATCGTGCCTTATCCTCAATCTGTGAGAGAATCAGCTCCGTGTCAGCGGCATTAGAGGCAGACATCTCCTCTGTTCTCTTCGTTTGAGATTGTTGTATGACGAGGTTGTATGAAGAGGTTCGCAGATTCAGCCAGCTTAAGCATGTTCTCAGTCCCAAAGGAAAAACATGATACATCACCCAAAACAGTAAACTCCCAGTCTCCTCGACTTTGAGGCAGTGTAGCCAGCCTTCGTACTGCTGCAAGTTCTCGAAAGAGAGAGTCCTCATGCGCTGCTGCATTCCAAGCTGTTGAGCCTGGTGAATCTCCTCGGTCAGGGGCCAACTAGTGTGTGCTTCTCGCGTCGCTTTTGAAGCACTATAGAGTCCTAAATAGTCCTAACGCCTAACATAAGCCCGAACCCAAACATTCCTATTTCCTTAGCCTTCGGCATGTGAAGTCGTGCGGCGCTTCAAAGACTGACTGCCTGTTGCTCCAAATCTCAGCCTGGGGGCCGCGACACACCAGGCCCGCGTGAAGAGTTTGAACCTTGGATTTTTCCACATCGTATTGGGGGTCGGACTTTTGCTCCTCGACATCAAGCTCCAACTCTTTAGAGATTGGAGGTTTAGTCAGTGATTGTGGTGTCGGTCTTTGCAAAGACCCTAAACCCTAAACCCTAAACCCTAAACCCTAAACCCTAAACCCTAAAAGCGGCGTTAGGGCTCTTAGGAGGGGGGGGTTCGGCTTTGACAAGCTCGGCACCCGAGTGACAGGGACCATCCTTGCTCCTCCCAAGAGCCAAATCTGGTTTAGGGTTTAGGGTTTAGGGTTTAGGGTTTAGGGTTTGAGGTTTAGGGTTTAGGATGGGTTTAGGGTTTAGGGTTTAGGGTTTAGGGTTTAGGGTTTAGGGTTTAGGGTTTAGGGTTTAGGGTTTAGGGTTTAGGGTTTAGGGTTTAGGGTTTAGGGTTTAGGGTTTAGGGTTTAGGGTTTAGGGTTTAGGGTTAGGTTTAGGGTTTAGGGTTTAGGGTTTAGGGTTTAGGGTTTAGGGTTTAGGGTTTAGGGTTTAGGGTTTAGGGTTTAGGGTTTAGGGTTTAGGGTTTAGGGTTTAGGGTTTAGGGTTTAGGGTTAGGGTTCCGCCTCAAACAAAAGGTTTCTGTGACTGTGCCAGCAGCTCAGCATCCACCGCAATGACTTGCGCAAACCTTGCGAAGCCGAAGTGAGGGTTTAAGGGTTATACCCGAAACAGGCCCTAAACCCTAAACCCTAAACCCTAAACCCTAAACCCTAAACCCTAAACCCTAAACCACCCCAAGCGTGTGAAGGCTTCGGGCTACGAATCCAGGGCTGCGCAGCCGCGCATCGTGCACTGAAGCCAAGGTACCCCGGCTTCATGGTCGAAATGAGTCCCATCATGTCCTTCGCATCGGCGAAATAAAGCCCTAAATCCTGAACCCTCAAACCTCCTGAACTCCTAAATCCTAAACCCTAAGCTCTGAGCTGTTGAGGTGCAGCACGGCGCGGGCAAACCGAAGATTCTGACCCCTAAGCCCTAAAAACCCTGAAAACATTGAAAACCTAAAAACCCCAAAAACCCCCCAAAAACCCTAAAAACCCTGAAAACCCTACAAACCCTAAAAACCCTAAAACCCTAAAAACCCTAAACCCTAAACCCTAAACCTCCAGGTCCAATCATGAACATCCCTCAGCCTCCCGCGTCGTAAGAGCGGGGCGTGGTTTAGGGTTCAGGGTTCAGGGTTAAGATCTAACGTGTCTAAAGCCTATAAAACCCTTCCCACCCTTCCAGCGAAAAAAGCTGACTTTCGGGGTTTCGATGGTTCTGGGTTTGAGGAAGTTTTTGGAGGTTTCGTCCGCCGGCAGATGATGTTGTGACATCTGGCCCTCACCCGTGACCCTAAACTCTGAAATTAAAAGACCCAGATGTCTCTCCTTGGACCCTTGACATGCCGAGCTGTTCTCACTCAAGGCGTGCCTTGTAGAGCCACCTCTTCCTGCATCCTGAAGCCCCTCTGAAGTCTCCAAAGTGCTGTGATCTGGGGCGGTTCCTAAACCCTAAACCCTAAACCCTAAAACTCCCTAAACCCTAAACCCTAAACCCTAAAGCCTAAAGCCTAAACCCTAGGTTTTCACAACAAAGTGGACAAGTGGCATGGAACTTGTTCATCTCGCAACGAACGCTCTGCCTGCCAGGCCCAGCACATGCCCCGTACACCCAGAAATGACGTGAGCGTTCGATGGCTTCTGAATGGTGAGCATACCCCTAAACCCCAAACCCTAAACCCTAAACCCTTAACCCTAAACCCTAAACCCTGTGGGAATTGTGGAGGTGGCTGCCAGGCCTTTCTTGCGGGATGTCTTCACTGTTTCGTGCTGGGCTCAGGGCCCAGGACAGCAATCCTGCATGCTGAAAAGTTGGGATGTCCCCCGTTTATACGAACAGTCCTTCATAGGGATTATAGTAGGGGGTACTATAATCCCTATTAAGGACTGTTAGAAAAAGGGGGCATGTCCCAGCTGAAAAGCCATCAACCCTGAGTTCTGGGCTTTTTAGGGCTGAAACCTGGCCCAGGGGCCCATCTTTCAGCGGGGGCGTATCGCTCCAGTACTTTGGGTGATCGCAGTGGCAGGGGACAGGCAGCTCGCCGGTCACCGGATCCTGCAGGAGGTCCTAAACCCTAAACCCTAAGCCCTAAGCCCTAAACCCTAAACCCTAAACCTAAAACCCTAAACCCTAAACCCTGACCCTAAACTCTAACCCTAACCAACAAAACCAGGAGCACATGGCACATGGCAATTTCTGAGCCTCAACTGCAGATTCAAGGCTTGGAAGTTGAAGCTCGCAGGCTCTGAGAATCCAAAGTGTGCCCGAAGGCGCTCCTCCATGCAGTCTGGGACGGTGCCGCAGATGCCCGCGTGCTGGTTCACGGCGAAGCAGCAGATCCAGTAAGTCGACCTGAGAGAGTGTGACTTCATCACTCGGGCCCTGAGGCTTCGGAATCTGATGCCTCTTTGGGGTAGAGAAGGTAGAGAGTAGGGATCGAGTGTTGCGTCGCTTGCCATGGAGTGTGGTGCGCAGGAACATGTAAACTGTGTTATGGGCGAACTCAGTGATCACGCATCAACTTGGAGGTAGAACGACCTGCCATGCACCGCGGTAGTCGTAGAGAGATTCCGCGATGGCTGGCGGAAGCCGAATTCACAGATTGTGGTCGGAGAGGGCCAGCTGGCGACCCGTGATACCCAGCACTGCTACAGATGCAGCAAGTGTCTTTTGACCAAGTTTCGTAACGAGCTGGTCCTTTTGGGACGCTTTGCAGGAGTCTGAGAACCAGTGGACAAGAAGAGCGCACGGTGTGTAGAGTTGCTCCAAGACAACAGCGACTGCCACTTTGCATGCGCTGGGAATTTCTTCAAAAACCAGGGGGCGTCCTGCAAGCAACCGAGTGGCAGTGGCATCTCTCAGCATCTTTGCGGCAGAAGGGTATCCTGTGACGTTTCTCTGGACATGCTGCCACTGTCAATGGGCCCGAAGCAGTTGGCTGCGGAGTCGCTCCAAACATGCATGTAGCCCTCTGGATGATTTGGCCAAGCATGGGCAAGCCCTCGGTAAGGGGCGTTGGCTGGGGAGTTGCTCCGCACCACGGCCAAACTTGGCATGTACACTTTGCACTTGCAGGCTTGAGGGACGACAAAACAGAACTAAGCGGACTCAAAGTTTGCTGGTGCGAAGTTGCTGGGACAAAGCAGAACAAACTTGACATGTATTCTTCAGCTTGGAGCCTGCCGACACAAAGCACAAACAACTATAACGGACCACACTTGGAAAACTTGACATGTACACCTTTGACCTTGGCCCTTCAGGGACCGGGAAGGAGCAACACAAAGCGGACCGAAGTTGATACGCTTGCAGGCTTCCGGGAAAGCAGGCTACATTTGTCATGTGCACTTTGAGCTTGGAGGCTTCCCGGCCAAAGAAAAACATAGCGGGCCAAACTTGACATGTTGTGCTTGGGACATTGCGGGAACCAAGCATGCTAAACTTGTCATGATATTAAGAAAATGCAAAATTCAGTAGTGCAAATGGATGAATCCCATTTTAATGAGCGAGTGATCTAAATCGGCCCGAGACTCCTGGATCCATGGCGCCAGACTCCCTTCCCCCCCCCCCCCCCCACGTCCCGGCAAAAGTTGTGCTCGTGTAGCTCGTGTAACCTTGAACCAAACCCTAAACCCTAAACCCAAAACCCTAAACCTTAACCCGAAGTGCCACCGCGTGGCGTCAGCTTCTTCCGCCAGAAGAGTTCCGACTTCAGCGCCGTCATCTCGCCGGGCTGCAGCCGCGGCAGAACGCTGGCCTCGCGGGGAAGGCACGGGGGTTGGTGGGGAAGGGGTTCAGGGTCGCATAGGGTGTAGGGTTTAGGGTTTAGGGTATAGGGTTTAGTCTTTAGGGCTTAGGGTATAGGGTTTAGTTTTTATGGCTTAGGGCTTAGGGCTTAGGGCTTAGGGCTTATGGTTTAGGGTTTAGGGTTTAGGGAGCAGGGCTACAGTACCCCTCCTTCGTAGGCTAAAGGCTGGTCGTGTAAGGGGGAGCATCTTAGCCCTCAGCCACAAGTCCCACTCCAAAGATCCACACAACCCTGCCAGGCCCCAGAAGATCCTCAGGCCACTGGGCATGTTGCTCAACCCATGAGCCCTCAACCATGTTCCTTTCCATCGTGTGAGGCCCACATTGTTGTGGTTCTTGATAAGTCTGCACTGGAAGCCCAGTACTGCAACAGTCTAGGAGACTAGGGTTTACAGTGGGGTGGTGGGGGGGGGGGGGAATAATTCGATTAAGCTGATCTCAAACTTAAAGACTCAACAGCCATGCAGCGTAGCTTGGAAGGTCCAACGCATCAGCCACTACCTTGGCTGCCGATCTATGCCTGCCGACTGAACGTCTCAAAGACGCGTCTAGTCCGTGTGATGTCAACATACATAGTCAGCCGAATCAAATCTGGCTCCCTTCTGCAGGCGATGTCGCAAACTCCTGTAGGTAAAGAACCTCCTGCAGAAAACCAGAACAAAAACATGTCAATGTAAAAATGTGAGCAACAGCAGTCCAAACTAAAAGAAAAGGGGTGTCGTGCATGCCCAATCCTCGCCTGGAAAATCCTCGAATCAAGGCCAACTACTATAGGGGCCTTAATAATTAGAATACCGTTTTGGGGGTATTAAAGTATAAATATGAAGGGACCATGAGGGAATATTGGTAATTATTCCAACCCCTATGGAACATGAACTACAGCTTTGGGGGCCACGCGGCAGCTGCCACAAGGTTCGAGAACTTGTTGGCCCAGTTGTGGGTGACCATGCGATCAGGGAGCAAGGCCTAGACGAAAAACATCGAGAAACCCTTAGAAGCCCTCTAAATCTCAAACACACTGAAAACGCCTTAGAGCCCCCCCAAACGGCTTGCAACCTCGAGTCGGTTGAAGATCTACAGTTTAGGGTTCAGAGTCAGGGGTTGAGGACGAATAGGGATGACAATGTGAAGGGCTGGATCAAAGCCATACCTAACAACCTCGAGCACCAACGGGCGCCTGACCGTCCATCAGTACCAGCGCTGCTGCGCAGTCGCCGTGCTCGTGCCCTCGCCACAACGGGCTATGCAATCGGACCCAAAACAGTTCCAGAAGCCCAACAACCCTTGATGTGGACCATGGGAAGCCGGACCATGGGTAGCTGGCCCAAGTAGCGGAAGTTCACCCAAACTGAGGTAGGATAACACATTGAAACTCACCAGCCGACTTTGAATGTTTCATCTGCCCTCGCCCTTGGCCTTAAGAGCCCTGGAACCTTGCAGAACTCTGCAAGGTATCTGTCCCGGATTTGCAACATGCAACTGAGTTGCGACTCAAGTTTCGTTCCTGTTTCCCGCTCCCGCTTCCGGCTTCAACATGTGGCTCCGACTTCCTGAAGGGGCAACTCCATTTTTCCTGAAGTTGACTGAGACCGCCCGTGCCCAGGCCTAGCCTGGGCCTCCCCCTGAAGCCGAAAAACTAAAACCCTCAACCGTAAATATCGCACTATGTTGCGTCCCTGTGTTCCGGCAGAGGCGAAACCCCAGAGACAAGAAGCTCAAAACCCTTGTCGCTTCAAAGTCAACGAGCGCGAAGACCCTAAACCCCAAGCCCTGAACCGAGGATGGCCTTTAAAAGCCTCTGAAAAATATTCTTGAAGATGATCTTCTTAAACCCAGAAAGCGAAAATGTAAATGTCCCAAGGGCCTCCTGAGAAACCCAGCCCTCAGACCTGTAGCCACAAATCCAGTTCTCCTAAATCCAGGCTTGAAGGGCCTTGGGTCATGGGAATGATCACTTGACGAACCACGTCCGCCGTGGTGTGCAGAGACGGGTCGTAGTGCGGCATCCTCTCCTGTGAAAGAGGCGTTTAATGTTTAGGAATTTTTACAACCGAAGATTCGGATCATTCTCTGTGTTGGCAGCTGTTGGCATGGATGCACGGAAGGCCCTAGATCTTTCAAGCCCTTTATACACCAAAAAGCATAAACCCCAAATGCCCAGCTCCTCGAGGCGGCTGTAGAAGCTGAGCAGCGCGCCTTCTCAACCCACGAAACCCCTCATCTCCTGATCCCCGATCTAGTGCCCGAAACTTCCCCTGAACCCCGTCACCCAACCCTGATAAGGGCTCGGTTAACCTGGCCTGCGATTGCAAAAAGTGCGCATAGGACACATGACCGTTAAACTGGCAAACCGCAAACCGAAATTTCTAACCCCTCAAGTTCAGCATCTGGCCTAGGCTGATCGCCCGGCATGCCAGATCGTGGGTCACTCCGTCCCACTCTTGGTGTCCAGTGCTCCAGGTAGCGCCCTGCCGCCGGGGGGGGGTGTTGGGCATAGTGGGTTGGCTGTAAAGAGTTGGGGGTTTACGATATTAGGCGTACCGGCGTACCTTGTTGGGGTCCTGCTTACAAGGGAATCCTACTATTTGGGGTCAACATTGGGGTCCCCTATCTTCGAAAACCCCCATATTGATCACACCATGTTGATCCTACGGATGCCCGACCTGGCCCGGCTTGAGTCTCGGACTTTTGGGGCCCCAGGGCTTCGAGGCTTTGCAGATCAGTCAGGGGCTCTCGGGTCCCGGATTGTTGAGCTGAGCCCAGGCTTCCGCAGTCCGAGCCCAAAGCGCTTGAAACTTCAGACGCTTTCAGGGCATATGTTGACTTCTGACTACTCGTCCACGCTGGCCGCTCATTTGCGCAGTCGGAATGGGCCATCGTTGTGAATGGCGGAACAGGCACTCAGGGCACCTCTGCAGAATTTAAGCTCCTCAAAGCCTCAAACTGTAACACCTAACCTTATTACAACGAGGATGGATCCTATTCAAGGGATCAGCGCTGGCACTGGCAGGCATCGCCAGGTGCTGGTCACAGCAGTAATACACCCTTGAACTCATAAACCCTATAAACATATAGCCTATATAACCAACAATCCTATGACGGTCCACAGCTCTAACTGCAGCTGTCTTCGGAAATCCATCGAAGAAGCCCCCCAGTCCCTGCAAAGTCGCCCCCGCCCCAAAGGAAAACCCACAGGTCCTATTGAAACCCTAAACCCTAAATCCTAAACCCTAAACCCTAAACCTCGTCTTGCTGGGCCTCCACTTCCGGCTCTTGCCTGGGTCATTTGGGTGCTGATTCGTTGAGTTTCTGTCTCTGCAGTTCACAGACGCTTGCAGGTTCGGTCCTTCTAACCCATCCTAGTAACCCATCCTATACAACTAACCATGAACTTCCAAGTAGCGTCTGCAGCTAGGGGCTTAGGATCCTGGAATTCTTCGTCTGCTCTCACGCAAAAAACAGCGAAAAGAAACTTCGAGTGGCGATCCGCTCAGAGTCTTGAAGTCCCATACCCTTTTCCACGGGGGCTGAAGGGTTAGGAAGTCCAATGGTGCCTTTGTCTAGAACCCTTTTTGGGATTTAGGGCATTGGGCCTGGTTCTGTAGGACCCTGCAGCCCTGGACAAGGTCCACTTTGCAGGCGAAGGCTCCCGATCACGTTGGGCAACATCTTGCTGAAACTTCGCTTCAGCTCCTTCAGACACAGAACTGACGCCAGAACAGCTTTTTCTTGCCCCTTAGAACCAAACCAAGAACGGGTGCCCTTGTTGTAAGATGGTTCCTGGGCTAGCAAGCATGGAACGTGAGAGGTTCCAATCTCCACATGCTGCCCGAAAACAAGCCAGGGTCGCTCTCCAGGCCCAATCCCTGGATCGACCGAAGCATGCAAAAATACGAGGCAACACACATCCACAAGAACACTGAACTTTACGAACGCGCTCAGCAAACTTATGGGCGTCCTTCAGGTGGCTGGACGCGCGCTGCGGGGTAGGCTTTGGTGCCCTTGGGGGGCTGATGGTGGCTGGGCTGCTCTTCGTTTGGGTAAGTTGCTGCATTGAGGGCTTCGATTTTGAAAATTGCGCATTTCTCGCGCGTATGATTCAAGTAACAGGGTCTTGGGGGGTTTGCGCTTCGGTTAAGTGTCGGGTATTGGGGATCGAGGGGCTCAAGGCTTGTGAAGTCTTCGAGTTTCCGGGGGCGCCACTGCCGTCTGAAGTGCTACAGCTCGGAACTCGAGACCCTGACTCAAGAAAGAGCGCTGCGCTGTTGACTGCAGGGACCGGTGCAGCCCATGGCTGTGTCAACGCACCCCCCCAAATCCGAAGCCCAAGGCGCCAAGAAAGCCAAGCCACTCGTACTCCATCAGGGACAATAGCTGGCCGAAGCGGGCGCAGTTGGTCAAGGAGAGGGTGGCGGTGATCCTGCGCGGCTTAGGATTTTGGCGTGGAAAGTCGGTGAGAGGCCAGGTGGCCACGAGCCCTCACGGAAACAAAACACTGTTCTCACAATTCCGGAACCGTCTCTCGTTTATGTTTGAAGCTGGCACCCTTCTCCTAACACTAAGCCTCTCCTTTTGCTAAGACCTTTTCCTTGTTCGCACTTACTTAAACTACCCCGTGTCATGCCAATCCCACTGGCTGTCATTCTTGTCATAGTGCCGAAACCCTGCGCCCTGCCCTGAGCTCTTCTCTGAACACATGTAGGTTACTGCGATGGAGGGGAGCGGTTGGACAACCTGCGGGACCATTTGCCCGCGAGTGGCTGGGGAAAAGCGAGCGAGGGGCTTGGGTAAATGCCCCGACGAGCTGGCACCCCTGTAAACATCGCAAACCCCCAGAATACCGAAATCGCACAAACAAATGGTCCGACATACAAGCTCAACTACCACATCCTGTCCCTAAAGCCCGACAGCCGCGGTTCGGGGGTGTAGGATTTCAGCCAAACTTCCACAGTTGTCAATCCTCAACCATCAACCCTACACTTCCCTAAACCATATAAGCCCTAAACGATGCCTTCCTAGACTTAAAAAACCTCATTCGTCCAAGAAGCAGGAAGCCAAGTTCTAGGCTCATGCTCGCGACGCTGGCTCCTTCTACGGGGCTTGTTGCGTCCTTCTGCGGGACTTTTGAGGAGCGCCATAGAAGGGATGCTGAGAGTTGCAGGGCTTGGTGGCTGTGAAGGCTTGAGGGCTTTAATGCTGCAAGGCGCTTCTTTGTGAATGGTGCTGGGTTGTGTATGTGCTGCTGGTGTTCTGGGTGGACTCAGCGAGCCCCCCTGGTCGAAAGCAGAAGAATGAATACATCTACAACATGGCGCCGGGAGAACTGTGTGAGCGAATCTTGGTACTCCTCAAGCCTCTAAGTTCTCTACAAGGCCTCTTATCAAGACCATGTAAGAGTTTACGAGAAAACAGGGGACCCCTTATATAGACTGCCAAATAGTAGGTTCCCCTGATAATTCGGACCCCAATAAGGTACCCCAAATATAGTAAACCCCCATGTCTAAAATAAGCAAACTATGCGATTAAACCTAAACCTTAAACCCTAAACCCTAAACTCTAAACCCCTTAAAATCCCTTAAAGCATCCTCATGTCGGTGCACCTCCATGGAGCAGCGTGGCGAGCCAGGCGCTGTGGAAGCCAAAGGCCGTGGCGACCAAAGCCAGGTTGAAGGGAGTCTCCCAAACCTAACAAGGAGCGTTCTGAGGGGGTTTAGGGATTTTGGTTTGTTGAAGGGAGTCTCCCAAACCTAGTAAGTAGCGTTCTGAGGGGCTTGGGGGCTTGAATTAAGGGATTTTAGGGGTTGAACTTGGGGGCCCTAGGGGCTCAGGGCGCAGGGCCAGGGCATGTTCATCCCAAAGCTCCGACTCCAAAGTTTTCACGCGCGAGGGTGGTTGTCAACTCTCAACCTTGAAGGGCACAGGCCTGGCTCTCGATGCTAAACCCTATTGCAGATCTGCATCCGTAAACCGCAAGCCACAAAACCCTACATCCCAAATACGCAGTCCTAAGCCCTCAGCTCGCGGTGTCTGAGCCGCAGGCCAGGCGACGCGAGAAGTGGACGGCTTTCGTGGCCAATTCTTTCCTCGTTTCGAAGATTGCCGAACTGTCTGTGCTACTGCTTCTGCTATCGCTACTGCTAAGGCTACTGCTCGTGCTGCTCTTTACACTACTACCACCACCACTACCACCACCACGACTAATACGACGACGAGGACGACGACGACGACCGAGGGACGACGACCGACGGACGACGGACGACGACACTACCACTGCTGATCCTGCTAGTAAATTCTTCGGATTTTGCAAGGGAGCTCCGCCAAACGGGGCGCCGCTTCCATCTCTCTCTGCGCAGCTCGGTATGCCAAGTAGAAGCCTGAGCATGCAGGTTGTCAGCCTCTGATCATGGAGGTGCAAGGATTGCATAGGCCCCACAGGATTCACACAAGTGCCTGGAACTTGTAGCACACTGACCTCGTGCATTCACAACAGTGGGCGAATATGTGTAAGTTTACCAGCATGCAAGGTGCCCAGCCAGCACCATGATCAGGACTTGCATCCGTACAGTCCCTTTAATGTAATGGCAGTCGCAAAAGCCAACCAAGCCCCTAGGCCCTACGCCTAGACCCTCAAAACGCAGAGTGCGCAAGGTCTCTGGCGCCAGGTGGCCCCGGGTCATCAGAATGGCTACGAAGGAGGTTGATACCTGTCAGGGCTTAGTGCCCTGAGGATCTCAGGGTCCACACTCCTACAGCGGTCTCGGAAAGCTTTTGGGGGCGCTCTGAATGAGGAAGCCTCGTGCAACTCTCCAGGCCCAGTTACCTTCCTGTTGCTGCTCTGGACTTGCAAAAGTTCGTCACGAAAAACCAGGGCACAAGTCGAACCCAGCCTAGAACATGACGGAATGTACGTCAGAAGCTAAGGGCATACATCATCCTCTCGAACCCTTCCTGTCAAATATTCTACCGTTCTGCGGACAGTAAAGGTGGCTATGGTCAAGGTTGCGTTTCAACAGGATGCTCAGTTGATCCTTCCTTTCAGACGGGTTTGGGCAGGCAGAACACGGAAGGGCAGCCTCTTGAATCAGGATTTATGGGCGGCCTACTGGCTGGGCCTGGGATATGGCAAAGCTTCAGGGTCCAGGGCTTCGGCGGCAGCCGAGGTGCCACGACAGCTGCTTCTATCAGTGCCACGCCCAGGATGAGGAGGTTGTACCTTCCATCCTGGACGAGGTAGCACACCTCGGCATCCACTGCAGTAAGGGTTTAGGGTTTAGGGTTCAGGGCTCAGGGTTCTGGGTTTAGGGTTTAGGGTCTGACAGCTGCCCTTGCTCGGGATGCGAACTAAGAAGGTCTGACTCTATTTGGGGGTTTACGAAAGTAAGGGTACCCCCTTCAATACCCCAAATAGAATAGAATCCCCTTCAAGGGGCCCCCAAAGCACATCAGGATGCCGCAGCTCTGGGCTTTGTCGACTACAGGGAACAGTGGGGCAAGTCTCAGCATATGACGCTCCTGAATGGAGCAGAACTGCAAACTGGAACAGCAGCAGCCACACGTCCATAAGACCATACACTAAGAGCAGCAGCTGATTGCGCAACTGATGCTTTGAACCCGTGCAGGCCAACCAATTTTCGGTTTGGGGCATTCCTTCTCATACCGCAATTGCTTCTCAGCGTGCGAAAGCCGTGGAAACGGGAATGCTGGCAACAGTAAAGGGGCTGTTTGCGCCTTGAAGCCTTGGGATGCAATGGTACTCCCAACTGCCCTGCTGCCACGATCCTAAACCCTAAACCCTAAACCCTAAACCCTAAACCCTAAACCCTAAACCCTAAACCCTAAACCCTAAACCCTAAACCCTAAACCCTAAACCCGGCCGCCAAAGTGCGTAGAGGACGGTCACGGTGAGAAGCGAGAGCCCGAAAAGCAGCAGCAGCACATCGAGAACTCGAGAACCTTACAAAGCTGCATGGTTGTGCCCACCCAGACGCTTCACGTTTTGGGGTTTAGGGTTTAGGGTTTAGGGTTTCGGGTTTGAGGATGTAGGTCATGTACTCGCTGCCTTTTGGAGCTGCACGACAATTCCTGAAACTCTCGCAGCAGCGGGTTCAAAAAAGTGTGGCACTCCGGAGAATCCGTGATTCAAAAAACCCAAAATGCAAAATATACCGGAACCCTTCGTTCCGCCGCTAGGACAAAGCTGGCAGCCTCACAGTTGCAAGCTGTGGGAACGTCAACAGAGTCTTACACCTTAAGGTCTCAACGGTTTTAAGTAGAACTCAGAATTGTGGGGGTTTTGAGAATCGCGAGGTCTGTTGCCACAGCCAGGCGATGGACTCGGAGCTTCAGCCTGAAGCTCTGACAAAAAGCAGCGTACTCAGACGTACTCAGAAACCTCCGAATCCTCTCCGAATCCACACCCGACAGTCTCAGAGCCCCACCGAGCGATTTCTGGAAGGCTTTCTCGAGGGTCTTCAGGTGTGACTTGATCACAACGAAGCCCATGAGCTTGTTGCCCCAGAAAAAGAGATGGCCTTCAGGAGCAGTTTCAGGTGAGTCTCAGGATGTGGGTTTCGCGCTTGATGGGTGCAGGCCCCTGGGTTTGGGGTCATTACCGCGTTACAAAGGTTTGGGGCCCAGGGTTCGGGGTATACCGAAGAAGCTACAGGTTGTTCTCAAGAGGTTTCGTCTCGACAGGCGGCAACAGCCCGTGACGACCCAGAATCTTCCACGATCGAGCACACCTCGACCTGAAACCTCCAGGCGCTCGAACCTTAAACAATTCGACTACATTTACGTTCTGACGCTCTTGACCGACCAGCAAATTCTGACGGAAGGGCTTTGATGATGCCGACATCCTAAACCCAGGCAAGCTACGCTACGCCGTGATATTTCAGGCCAGTGGGTTCAGAATTTGGGTTCATTGAGGTCGCAGGCTACATTCCTACATCTCTCTGAGTAACGGCTTCATAAAGTGTCCCAAACTTCTTATTTGTGCAGCCCATGTCGCAAATCACCGTGATCCAGGTGAAGATGGTCATCTCGATAAGCCTTACGATGATTCTTGAGTGCACGACGGGAAAAAAGGCTGCTAAAGCTCTGAAAGGCCGGTTCGGACATTAAAATCCCAAACCTTTATCACCCGAGAACGGGTTTCACCAGCAAAACTCTCGCTATACACGGGGCAGCGCGTGGCTTCTGACCGTCTTTTAGTCTTTGAAGGGTTGCTGGATGTCGGGTTTTAGACCCTTAGGGGCTTTGGGCTTCGGGGCATTAGGGGTATGCAGTCGAGTGCAAGGTGACCAGGAACTTCAAAGAGCAGATCAAAAAGTAGAACGGCCGTTAGGACCTTCCTTTACACGTGGGACCAGCATTTTCACTGTCCTTGCGATGTACTCCTGAGCGCTAGAGAGTTGCAAGGGCAGGCTGGGCAGAAACGCGCACAATTCATTAAGCAGAGTGGAACCATGTAAAAAGCCCGCGTAAAAGAGTTGCCCACATGCGACATTGCCGCCAAAGTGGCCACCAACACCGCTGGTTTTTTAAATTTATGCCCTGGGCCTCACATTTCGATCCTACAGATGGGGGTTTCCGACGCTAAAGGTACCCTAAAAGTTTCCCTCCTTACACCTTCTTGCTCCCGGACGCTGAAGGGTAGTTCTGGATCTTAAATTACAAGAGGATCCTACTATTTGGGGGTTTGTATTCGGGGTCCCCTATTTTCGTGGCATGGCAGTGCAGACCCTCAAGTACAGCAGTGTAGACGCTCCTTTTTGAACCAAACACTGCCCCAAAGCCGTTGTTCATGTCAAGCTGCGTGTCTCGTGCTGCACACCACCTCGGCCAAGTTCTCAAGATTTTTTGGTAAAGCATCTTATGATTTATGGTTCCTGCTAGTTTGTAGCTGGTCGGCGTAGCATGTTGAGAGGAAGCCCCAGGTGTGCTTGACGTTATCATCTTCAGCATACCCCCCCCCCCCTATTATCGCGATGCAGCTCACGTGCGTGACATGGTTCTCTGATGTACTGTATACATTTTCGCAACACTGCGAGAAGAGGGTTGCCCTGTGTGGATGCGCAGTGTCGATGACCAAGTGTTAGACATGCCATTGAGGTTTCGTTCCACACACCGACGGGTCTTCGAACAGCGTAGCTGCACTAGCACTTGCCACAGCATGGCCACCACTACGGACAACTGCCGGCCATTGGAGGAACCGACGTGCTGCAACATGGCAGCGGCGATTTTCAAGATGCTTCTCCAGCAATATCGTTTTGGTAGTTCGCGTTAAAGCGGCCCAGCATCAAACATCACGCTTATGCCATGGATGCTATCCGCTCCGCACACGCTAGCTATGAACTCTGCCGAACATAAGCTTACCTCTGATCCCCTTCCGAACTAGCTTGGGGCATCAGAGTATTCCTCACTTCGTGATGCGGAATCTTCGGGATGTTGCGGGACCAAGGATGTCGGGATTCCCCCTTGGTATTGAGGCATAGCCGCCTGTGGGAAGCCAGGAAGTGGATGAGCCAAACGTTCATCGCATTCAGCAGCACGTGCCAGCGCAGGTAGACCTGAAACATTTCGGGCTGCGGAAGGAGATGGAGCACATGTACTTTCGGCGAATCTTTACCACGTAACATGGCAACTTTAAGCTTCGAAAAAGGCGATTCCACTGCTTCCACTTTTGACACGAATGGAGCGCAAGCCGGCAGGACAGTCTGCCCGGTGCAGCGTAAGTAAAGGGTTCAAGGGCTTGGGGTACACCGCTATTCAAACGCGCAATCATGGTACCGCTGGCAAACGTGAGGGCCGTGAGGGTTGTAAAGCACTCGGATTGGCCTTGCGACTTTCGCTCTCGACCCTAAACCTAGCAACCCTCGCCACAAGCCCATTCCGGAAGCCGGAACCTCAATCGCTGTTCAGAAAGGGTGCAGGGAGCATCTAGCGTTTAAAGTCCCCCCCTTTCAAACACTTTCGAACTCGAAAACCCTGCGCCCCAAACCCTGAACTTGTTTGGAGCAAGGCTGCTAGAAAGGGTGATGTCAGCCACCACTGCAGCTGGGAGTTCAAGACCAAAGCCAGGCACATCCTTCCGCTTGGGACTGAGGGGATGAGGGGGGATTTAAGGCTCTAAGCAGTCTCTAGCATGCTCGTGCTGTGGTAGCCCAACTCGAAGCTTCATGTTTGAAACAAGGGCTTCTGAAGAATTCCCGAGTTAAAGTTGTACTAAGCATGACCTTGATACGCCGCCTCGAAAGGTGTGGGGAATTTTCTCATCCACCCCCCTCCTCCCCCCTCCCCCCCAATCCCCCCGCAACCCGTGGACGCCCATCATCCCTTTCGACTCCTGTAAAGCATTCCTGGCACCACCTGCCCCTGGGGTCGGGCCCAAACCCCTTGCCTGCACCAAGCGACATGTGACTTTGGCTTTCCTTCGTCCGCGATGCGCGTCCTGCACTCCGCGTTGGGCCGGCCCCGGCTGCCCGAGGTGGCGCACGCAAGCGTTTTCAGTTCCTCGCTAAACTCCTTGCCTGACCTTGAGACCTAGACCCTGGTACCCTTGAATTAACACATGTAGCCATGAAGCCCCACAGTGCCCCTACGCCCCGAAAGAGCACAGGCTTCGCCGCCAAGCGTCAAGGACATGACGGCGGTGAAGCAGGCGACGAAGTTCCTGGGCCATACGGGCCATACTGCGGGCGCAGAGGCAGACACCCAAATTTGCCGGAGCCTCAAACATGCCATGATTGCACGCGTGGTGACTTTGGAAACGAAGAAGAGAGCCCAGAGTCCCCCAAAGGGGCTGACACGGTAAAAGAATTAAGACAATGCCTTCAGGTCTAAAAACCCTGAGCCCTGAAGGTTAGTGCCCAGCAGCCCCAGTTCCCACTCTTGGTCATCTTGTTCGGCCACCGTGTGATCCACATCCATCGCCTCTCATCCGTGGCTTGGATGCTTTAGGGTGTGACATGGTGTGAGGGTTTCGAGGCTGGAAGGGTTAGGGAGCCTGCGTTTGAGGGCTTCGGGCCAGGGACAAGGAAGTGCTTCAGGTGCTGGAGCTGTGTTGAGGGCTTAGGGCCTCAGACGGACTTGTACCTTCATGCCTTAAGTTAAAGTCCTGTGTGAATCAGCCATCAGGACTCATGGCGTAGAAGATGCATGGGTTGACTTGGCCTTAAAGCAGCGTACCGTTTCAGAACATTTGCGCTTAGGGCCTCTGTCTAAATGGGTCTTTATGCCGAGGGTTTAAGATGAAGATGGGGGGGGGTCCGGCAAGGATCGCGAAGTGAAGAGTTTAATGAGGGCTTCAAGAATTCGGGCTGGAGACGCCCAACTCATGGTCCTTCGTCATGTCCATGTACGTGTTGCACACGGCGACCTGCCAAGGACCAGCAGGTGGTAGCTGCTTTCAGAAGGGGTGTGGGAATGTCCCTCTTTCGGGGCTTTGTTTTAGCTTTAAGCTCGAGGCTGCTGGGAACAACACTACCCATACTCGCTGTGCCTCCCTGGCCTAAAGGAAACTGGCTTGAGCTCAACCCACGTGCCATTTATCAGAAACCTCACTGCCTTAAGATGCAGGAGCAATCATTGCAAAAGACGCCAGACTGGCAGGCGACCGCCAAGTCGGCAAAGTGAGTCGCAAAGGGAGTCAGAAATCGCAGAAGCCAGAGTCCGAAAACACAGCGGGAAGGGAAACAGCACGAGAAGACAATAGACGGGTTTAGGCTTGGGCGTTTGGGATGTAGGGTTGAGGCTTTCGGGTTTGCAGCATTCACAGCAGCAACAAAAATTCGAACCTTTGTTTTTGATGCTGTCCAGGGCTTTTCTATGGCATCGGGAGGTCGCCTGTATACCAATTCAACGAAAGAAAGTGCGCGAAATTCCCCCTCCCATGCGCCAGAGACTGGATTGGTGTTGGCGGTGTGGGGGGGGGGGGGGGGGGTGGTTTGGCTGCTTTGGGAGGCCTGTGGTGTGGACGGTGTGGATGAGTGGGTTCATGAACTGGGAATTCCAAGCGTGCTACTGATAATGTTGACTCGGTATTGAAAAGATGTCCCTGGACTCAATTAGAACCCCCCTCAACTAAAACGCAAATTGCGGCGAAAACCAGGTAGGCTGGTGTGACAAGAGGCCAGCCATTTTGAAAGCAAGCCCCCCTCCCCCTAGGGGAGGGGGGGTACTTAAAGCGAGGTGAACATTATAGGCCTTGAATGTTCACAGAGAAGTGACTAAGTTCAGGCCGGGGATTGTTGATGGAGGGCCTTTTCATGTTATCTCACTCGGGTCGCCGTTTCCCGAGAAAGGTTCGGACACGTTTTCGGACTTGACTGTCACTCAAACCCCAACCCACTCATCTACGCAAGGTTTGAGGGCCTTGGACCCTGAACTCCAAGCCCGTGCAAACGTTAAAACTGCCTGAGGAATCAATGCCTGAAGAACCCGTATGGGATTCAACTCCCGCCCCTAAAGAAGCAAACATACAGCTGCTGCACCGTCCATAAAACTTCGAGAGCAAGACAGGCCAAGCGCTTGCCGGCAGAGGGCTTTTAGGGTTGAGGTTAAACCCTAAAAACCCTAAAAACCCTAAAAACCCTAAGAACCCTAAAAACCCTAAAAACCCTAAAAACCCTAAAAACCCCAAAAACCCTAAAACCCCTAAGCAAGTGCAGAAACTCCCATCAGGGCGCACCAGCCCAGGATGCTGCAGCAGGGGAAGAAGCGTTGCCCAAAGCGCCAGGATCACGGCGGCCACCGACCTCCGGCGCCATGCTTGGAGTTTAGGGTTTAGGGCTTAGGGTTTAGGGTTTAGGGTTTGGGGTTTGGGGTTTAGGGTTTAGGGTTTAGGGTTTAGGGTTTAGGGTTTAGGGTTTAGGGTTTAGGGTTTAGGGTTTAGGGTTTAGGGTTTAGGGTTTAGGGTTTAGGGTGAGCTCGTAGTCCAAGGCTTGAATTCAACTGGAGTTCAGAGAGTTTCAGTGGTTTCGAACAACCCTGAACCCAAAACTCTAAAGCCCCCCTGAACGACGGCGCAAAAGTGAAAACCCTAAACCCTAAACCCTAACCCTAAACCCTAAACCCACCATGAACCACGAGGGGGGAAGCGGGGGGGAGACAATGGGGGGGAGGGGGCGGGGTAGCGTGAATGCTGGCTCATACCCAAAACTTGACCCCCGGAACCTACAAAGCGCTCGGTAGCGGATGCTTGCCCAGGTCTTCTGCCCATCGTGGCCAAGTTCGCCCTCCTGCAGCCGAAGGACAATGGGGTGCAGGGCTTGGGCTTAAAAAGGGCTTGGGTTGTACCAGGCTAGAGTGCAAGTTGACAATTTCTCTGAAAGCGCTAGGAGTCAGGTTTTTAGGACTTTGGTGTCCAGAAGTCCATTTGTTGGGGGCATGGATGCGTGTATATAGTCTACAATGATCCCCCTGGGGCAAAACTGTGGGGTTCCAACGTTCGAGGTAAAGAGGGTTTGGTGGGCGCTAGTCAACATCGCGCTCTCGCCTAGTTGAGGCCGCGCACGCGGGTTACAAGGGCCACGATTGCCATGCAAAAACAAGTCTTGGCATCGTCCGAAACGCGCCCTCGCCTCGGGCTCTTGGAAGGCTTTGCCTTGTGCATCCGTTCTCTGGGGACCTGCATCTAAACTCGGCGGTGATGGAGATCGCGCTCCCTCGTCGGTCCCGTGCGCGTCGTGGTCGTAGTCTGATACTGTTTGGCTGGCATAATTTCATCCAGTTTTGTTGGGTGGGGTTTGGAGGCGGCGGTAGCAGTAGCAATAGCAGCAGGAGAAGCAGCTGCAGCTGCCAGAAAATGTGAGCAGGGGAAAGTACCAACCCAAACGAGTGGCTTGCACCATGACAGGCTTACCTTCAGCAAAGGGGAAATGCATGAGCTCTGTCAGTACATGCTTGGGGACCTCCACAGTATCCGGCCCCAAACTCTATCCTAGGCCACCTTCCGCTCCCGGCTGCAAGAGATGCTGCAATAAAGGGTTCAAGCTTCAAGTCCCTAAATATATGTGAACGCCTCTATTCAGGACTCAGTGCTTGGGGTTTGATTAGGGTCGCGACACCCCAGCCCTAAGACAGTGCGGCCGAGATTCTCTCAAGGGGCTCAGTCGGCAACAGCCCACACTCATCGCAGGCAAAGGCGCCAACAATTTTGTCCTACAAATGGCCTGCTGAAGTCGCTTAAACCACCTACAACCATCCGAGGAAGCCCTGAAAGCCAACAGGTTGGGTTAGGGGTTGAGAGCTTCGGGTTGCCCCAAACATGTTCTTCTTTCAGTCCACTGGCGGTGAGATCGCTGACTGGGTCTGCAGCCAAAAGCAGCGAATGTTCACCAGGGATCCCAGAATCGCCCGAGCATTTGCATTACTCCTAGAGACCGCTTTCAGTTGCCAGAAGTTTGCTTGGAAGAAGGCCCCCCCATACAATGTACAGAGCACATGTTCCCAGGAAAGGCTTCTCTGAGTATGAAACAAGCCTCACTGTGCCATGGTTGCGGCTTGGTTTTCTGGCATTTTTTTGTGCGTTAAGGCTTTCAGGATGCATAAGGCTTGACGGCTTTGGGTCTTCAGGGTGTTGTTGTGACGTGTGGCCGTAGTCGCTTTTAGGGCTTGGAGTTTAAGGCGGGCCTTATGGGGCTTAGGGTCACCCCCGCTTGTCTCGTGTTGCGCGGTCGTGGGGCGCGCGTGCGTGCGACCCCCAACCATCCCGTGCGAAGCGTGTGGGGGCTCCTGGCTACTGCCTGCGCCGGCCGCTTGTGGTATATGTGTAAATAAATAGAAAAATATATGATACTTACGATATTGCATATTTTAAGTATGTTAGAGTAAAGTGCAGTATAACAGTTTAGTACAATACATTACATTATAGAATAGTAGATTACGTGATTGTATATCATATAACAACAAAGTAAGCATACATGCGTGCAAATTTACTGACAAAAGAGACAAGTCCGAGAAGTCCGTCAAAAGACTACAATTTTCATGAGAGGAAAATGCCGCCAGAAATGCAATTTGTCTTAAGTCCAAGCCCTCTCATGAGTATCGAATTGTGTGGATGTTAAGCTTGTTAGCTTCGTCCAGTCCACGTTTGTCCGGTCTACGTCAGAACGTTTAGATTGTGCACGTAGCAAAACGGCGTCTGATCAAGCTGTACTGTAGAGCCTGCTACCTAAACATTGCTGCGCCTTGAGTTGCCCTTTGCCGGGCTGCCCTTGCCAGGCTCACTGAGAACAACCACATGAAGTTCAGACTTCGGACCGTGTTTGCTCGCAAAACGGATCAGGATGTTCTTGTCCACCTGTCCAACTGCAGTGACACGTTGATCGCCAGAACGTGCCGGCAAACATTTACGACCTTGGGCTTGGGGAGTCTAGGCTTGAGGAATGAAACCCCAGCATTCGCAATCCCTCAACTCTAAAAAAACACCATTTCGGCTAGGTTTGCAGGCTCAGACTCTGTGAGCTTCGAGCGGCCACCCAGGCGATAATGCTTGCGTGACTACTTGTGGCTCTGGCCATAGCCTTCGTAAGATGCCCAGAGCAGGCTGCCGAAGGAAAGCTTTAACAGCGCTGTGGTTTTTAGCTGAGCATAAAAATCCCATGAAGTTGCAAACTTTCCCTAAACCCTGAACTCTCAACCCTAAACCCTAAACCCCCAAACAAGACAGCCCTCCCCTCCGGAAGGCGAAGCTACAGGCCTCTGCTTCCAAGAAGGTTTTTGTGCTGATTCGGGATTCAGGCTGTGAAGCTAGGATGGCCCTTAACACCCTGAAGAAAAGTATTCCTGAATATGACCCTCTTAAACCCAACAAGGGCAAATAGAAATATCCCGGCGGCCTACCTAGTAAGAGTTCAGTTAGGTGTGGCAACCTTAGCCTCACAGAGGGTTTAGAGATGCTGTCTGCAAAATCACCTTGGCTGCCTTGCCGATCCAACTACAAGCCCAAACTCCTTTGCGAATCCTGTTAAGCCGTAAAGCGCTACACAGTCACTGACCTTACACTCTACCATACCTTTGCAGCCAAAATGGTGCTCCAGAGGCTCTGGCATCTGGCATTGGTGAGATTAAACACGTTTGCTGGAAGGGTGCTAACAGAAGCTCTGTTCAAAAATGCCCTCTCAAATCTAGCTTCGAGGGTCCAGTATGCACCGTTTGTGGACAGAGCTCGCTATCCACCAGACTCAGACGGGTGCTCTTTGCATGAGCTGCCTCAATCACAGCCCTGAGGTTTAGGTGGTTTAGGGTTTCGGGTTTAGGGCGTAAATCCTGAAGGATTCTAGGGTTCTGGTCTCTCAAAGTCTCACAAACGAGGGCTCGTCAATTTCCGGCTTTATACGGTTCCTGTTGGATTCAGGGTTTTGCAGCCTGCCTGCATACCCCTCAACTCCCCTCAAGTCCCTAAGCCCAACCCTCTAAGGTCTGAGCCCAGTTGAACGGATCTACGACCCGGAAAAGCATCACACTAGATCGGAGTGAAATCGATTTCTGGAGACCTGGGCGGAGGTGTGAGGTTGAGAGGTCGGGCGTTCGAATCCAGTGATTGAGCTTGAGACTGAGCTGTCAAGGAGTTCCTCTGGGAAGAGTACCAATGTGATTGAACTGCCGAAGTAGGTGGGTTTGAGGTCAGAGTCCCAGCTATTCTGCTTGTGCGGTTGCTTGGTTCAAAGTGCGTATGAAACCCCAAACAATCGCTAAGCCATCCTGAACCCAACATGGGCGTAAACTCCAAACCTTCTACTGCAGTCCTGGATACTTCAACAATACATTCTTAACCATGACACCATGAACTACAGTTCGGGCCGCAGGGAGTGTGTGCCACTTTCTTGTTTTCGGTCGCCTGACCAAAGACGTTAGCAAAGACCGCCATGCTCAGAAGTAATTGGACACCGAATTGAAGACCGAAAAGTGAGGTACCGAACAACTGTGCAGTGACAGGAATACACCTCCGAGCAGGGATGTGTTGCACACCTACAATGGTATACAATGGTCAGGTACATGCAGTTTGGAAGACCATGTTTGAAAAAGGAAGCGCGCAAGCGAACATCGGAACACCAGACTCCGTTCTAAGTGATTGGCGGCTCTGCTGACATTGGTGTCGTCATGCCTATTCCGCAAGGTGTTCCTTGCCGAGCGGGCTCTTGATTGCGGTCGAGGACTCACAAGGCTTAGGGTCCAGAATCCTAGAAATCCAACGCACAAGATTGGGGTTGTTGAGGGTAGCATGGGTGCTTCGATCAAGGACAGAACCAGAACCAGTTCGTGGTTCCAGGCCCAGCACGTCAAAAAATCCCACAGCACATTCGAGCAGGGTTTAGGGTTTAGGGTTCAGAGCCTTTGCAAGTTGGGCATGCAACAGTTGCACTGGTCAAGTTGAGGGCACGAAGGGCCACACATGCAGACGGATGTCCAAACACATGGTAGTGGCCTTGATGCCTTTGCTTACGGTGATGCGACTTGCAGTTCCTCTACATCTCCTTCTCCAAGGTTCCGAAAACATCCTGAGAGCCTGATGGTTTAGGGTTTAGGGTTTAGGGTTTAGGGTTTAGGGTTTAGGGTTTAGGGTTTAGGGTTTAGGGTTTAGGGTTTAGGGTTTAGGGTTTAGGGTTTAGGGTTTAGGGTTTAGGGGTACAAGAACAAACAACTTGAGTACAAGCTCCCCCCCCCCAAGCTACAGGCAACTGCGGCTGCAGGTAACTGCGGCGTCCTCCCCGATGTGGCCGACGATGTCGACGATGACACCGAGGCCTCGGTTGTAAGCCCCAAAGAGCCCTACCATAGGGGTCGGAATAACTACTACTAGTATTCCATTATGGCCCCTTTAGAACTATACTAGTATAACCCCCAAAACCCTACTATTCTAATTCTTAAAGCCCCTGTTTAAATCACCAGTTTACTGAGGAGTTGACAACTCTTGGGGGCTAAAAAGGGTGGCTGAGGGCGGATTTGGGTGTAGGGTTTAAGGGTTAGAGTTTAGGGTTTCATTAGGGTTTAGGGTGTAGAGATTAGCTTTTAGGGTTTAGGGTTCCGGGGTTTCGGGAATAGGGCGTGGAGCCCTGGGCTGCCAGCCATGGGAGATTCGGTCTTCCGTACTTTGAATTTCTCGGGGGTTTCGGAGTGGGGCACGGACTGTCGGGCGTTTAGCTGTTGCTTTTTGCTCCGATGTCCTATAGCAATACCGGGTTGCTAGTCTCAAAGGTAGCGTGAAAGGGAAGCTCCGAAATCCCTGCCTTACGCTGGGGCTCAGAATCGCGCTTTCGCATTTCAAGACTTCAGCGACCCTCCTCACACAGTTCATTGCGACTCCGTCTCTCTGCAAAGTGCAGATAAACTTGACACGCTCAGCCCTAATCGGGGGCTGGGAGCTGTGTCTTAAGGCCTTTAGGCTTTAGGCAACCCCAAACCCTGTAGCAAATCCGCCGAGGCCTCGGGCCGAAGGTGTATAGGTAGTCAGAACAGGCACCCCCCTCCAAACCGTCAGGTTCAAAGCCCTTTTTCGGACCCCTTTTTTTGCCTCAAATGGGTACCCAGCCTAGGTGA